TATTACTGAGCCAGCAGTTTTACCCACCATCACTTCTGCACCATCAAAGCAAATTTCAACACAGAGAAAAAGGCAAACAATGTCTTGAAATCATGTTGAAAATAGTATCAAATGTGTAAACCCCCTGATACGGTGTGAACGACCACACTTTGCAAGATGACTAAGCTAGATTATGCAAAGAGGAAAAGCCTCATTAAGTTGGTTATGGCAAAAAGACAAAGCAATTATCAGTTTGTCCTAACATTTATCTAACTTAGACATAATATTACAACTATAAAATAATAAATTTCTGGATAGGTACAGTTAGACACCAGAATTTATTGGAAAACCTAGTTGTAAAAAAGATCTCTGTTTTTTCCCATCATTTAATTATGGAAATGAAGAGTCAGTATACTTTTAAAAAGTGTGTGTGAAATTGAAGTGATGTTTATTGCATTTTTGTAATCTACTTGAAGACAGTAGAGTTTCAGCCATGTGTTTTATTCTAATGATCTAATGTTGAGATGCCAGTCATATCATTTATGCATTTCAGTTTAGCTTTCAGATTGTGTTAACTGTTTTTGGTACCCCTTTGAACATATCAAGCAAGCCATCTTTCACCAGACAGCCAAAGGTCATGTCCAGATGGGAGGCAGTAAGAATCAATATAGTGAGTATTTTTAGGGACTATTGATGGATTGCTGTATTTTGAGTTAAACTTCAAGTGCTAAATGCCCCAGAGCTGACTAAGATGAACTCACCATTTACTGAGAACTGTATAGGCCATCGTGTGCACTCAGGGCTCTGAGATCGCCCAGACCAGACGCCATGCACATCTTTCCCTGCAGTTCTGGGGAGGCTGCCTGTGTTTGCTAGTAGCTCCTGCAGCATTCTCATGAGGACTGGACACCCCTCTCCTTGCAGAGCAATGTTACCCAGCTGATGACCTGCTTGTCCTGGTATCCCGTCACTATGAAATTTGGGGGCAACATGGTACAGCAGCGAATCAATTAATTCCCCCTTTCAGGAGGGATCTGGTACAAGGAGGAGGCACTAATGACTCCGTGGCCCTCTCCGAAGGCAGCCCCACAGAAGGTGGGAGCCACGTTAAGCTGTGCTGCTGTCAGCAAGCTGAAAGCTGTGGGTCTCTGACACAGCTCTCAATTGCTAGCAGGTTTCTCTCATTGCACTTCATTTGCATCTGGGACATCAATTAGCATGTTTGTTGAGGCTAATTGAATGAAACTCAATCATAGCTCTTAATTGCTTGACTATGTGAAAAGAAATCACATTAATGCAGCTAATTAAGTGTACGGCAATAGATGCAACATAATTAGGAGCGAAATGTGAAAAACAAGGGAAGGCAGAGGTGCAGGAGCGGGTTGCAGGAGGACAGGGTGCACAGCTCCGGCGCTATCCACACTTCGGGAGCGGGTCCCTTTGCTCCTGCGCCTGACTGGAAAAAAATAACGTGCAGGATGAGCACGGACAACTTGAGAAGAAAAATGTAAATAGCTTTGCAATTACTACTTTTCCAAGCTGTTGAGGGGCAGGAGACGGCACCTCTGGGGGCCCTGGCTCTTGAGTGGGCCCCAGGGACTTGTTAAATGCTGTTAAAAGTACTTGGCTTTGAATTACCCTCATGCCTTGTTAAAGGGTTTTTTCCCCTTTTATCATCGATCAGCATTTTCTACAAGGAACAGGGAGAATGGTAGTATCTGTAGCATCTGCATATCAAAATCAAGCTCCCTGTCTTTAGTTTACTCTGCAAGGTCCCTTCCTCATCAGGCGGCAGATCCCACTTCTGAGGAGGCGACATTGTTTAGCAGTTCTCGCTTTAATTCCTCAAGCACCACGCTGGGGAGAGATGAAAAGGATGACTTCTTTCAAAAACAGAAAACTCAGTGTCTTTTCTCTTGGGAGAAACCAGAAGCCACAGAGCCAGGTGTCTTACATTCCACCTGTTTCTGAAGCACCACGTCAAAGGGCCTTCACGGATCAGGAATGCATTTCGTAAAGTTTGTAAACATTTTATGTCTTGAATTGTAGGAATTGCCAAGTGTATGTTCTGATTTTTTTAGAACTAGTTCTGAAGTTTCAGTGCTTAAGTCAGGGAGGGAAACAGATTCCCCTGTTACATGCTGAGCCGAAGATAAACGTGTCCGTGTCCCTTTGCCGTGCTCAAATCCAAAGAGCAGACACTTGGTACATTTCTGTAATAATTTTAAATAAAATATCCTGGTTATTGTATGGTAAAACACGCCTATTAAAAAGAGCCCATGCTGAGGCTTCGTCACTATCTGATTAGCCTCATTTTAGAGCCCATAAGCAATAAATGCTCAATTACACTCCTGTTATTGTATTTTAATTTGTTAAGAATTGGCATTAAAGAAGAAAGTTATAGCAAGTTGAAATTTCTGAAGGAGTAGCTGTGCAAGAAGGAGTTCATTATTTACAAGGCTTAATTTTGGTTTTGAAATTTGGGTTTGTATATTTTCAGTGGATGTTAATGGAAGTAAATTAAAGATGCTTAATAACAACCTTTTTATTTTTAATGGCCTTGACCCTTAGCCCTACCCTAACCAAAGATCAGTTCCCTCTTAGATGTGCTTTGCATTCACCATCCTTAACACACTGGGCTTGACGTGAGATTTCCTGATTTCTTCAAGTCAGCCCTACCCTTCATTCTAAAGGTCGTAACTTCCTTTCCATCTTTGGTCTACATCTTTTCAAAATCACAGATTTTTCCATGGCTGATTATGTTTTGGGGAGTTTTTCAAGCATCTTGACTTCCATGTGGAGTCTTCTGTCTGTCCCCAGCTGGGTACACCCCCTGCCTTCTCCAAACCCAGGCCGACTCTCCTCCAAGATGGCTGTGGCCAACCCAGCCAGCCTGCCTGAGGCATCAGGCGTCCCTGAACCCTGGAGGTTAAGTGCCCAACACGCGTCAGCGCTTCTGCTCCTCTCCTGGCTCCCGGGGCTGACAAGCAGACATGCGGGTGCCCCCATTTTTCTGGGTGGCTCATCGACTCCCGAGGAAAGCCCGGCCTCCCTCCCCTGCAGGGCTGGTCAGTGAAGCAGCGTCTGATCCTTCCAACATTTGTCTTCAGACCCCGTTCCACCTGGGTCTGGCTCGGCTTTTTGAGCTTCTTTTCTGCACCAAGAATTGGCCGTCTGAGTTCTGTCCTTAGAAAGTAACTGGAGACTGAGGCATCCTTCCCTCCTGGGCTGGTGCTCGCCGGACCTTCCAGGCTTCTGTGTCTCTCCTTGAGAACGTCTCCCCAGCGCGGCCGTGGCCTCACATCCCCGAGTCTCTCTTCTGCCCTTCCTCCGAGAGAATTCCTCCACCCTCTCCCTGAGTCTGGGTGGGCTCCCGTGCAGCCCCACCTCTGACTGCTTAGGTTTCAGGGCGAGGTCTCTGCTTTTGACACTCGAGGCCGGCCCTCCCTCCTGCAGATGGCAGAGAGGGCAGCCCTTCCCCCTCTGTCCCAAGGGCCCACATTGGGGTTCCTTCCCCCGCGTGGGAATCTCATACTTCAGGTTCCTTTTTGTGTCATTCCTTCTGTCAGCAAAATACCTGCTCCTTGGTAACCACCGGCTGCTGCTCAGCACCTTCACCTGCTGGAATGTGGATGTTGTCCTGCAGTAAAAAAAAAATCCACAGCCTATTTCCAGAAGCCCAGGAGGCCTATTTCTCTCGGCTTCCGTGCCACTCTCTGTACCCCTGGGCTGACTGCTCACCCTGCAGGCTGGGGGACTCAGCGCTTTGCCCCTAGAGCTGTTCAGTTCCCTCTGCCTATCGGTTGACTGTGGTGGTTGGTAGTTAAAAGCAAACAGCTCACTTCCTGAATCCCCCTGGGTCCTTGCAGCCCGCAAACTGGTTTGTCATTTCTTCTAAAATACTCTGACCAGAACTTAACTGCTTCAACTAAATACAGGCTTATTGGTTTTATTCCCTTTATATTCTAAAAGGGAAATGCACCAAGATACTGCCAAGGAGGAAAGCTGTTCATTCCATTTCCTGATTAGTCTTAAAACACTCAAAATGTTATTTACCCAAGAGTGATTTATAATACATCCTCTCCTAATGTAGGAGGTCAGTTTAATATGTCTACAAAGACTAGGGGGCTTATTGTCCAAAAAAATGCATTAGAAGGTCATTAATTCCTGCTTCACCAACAGGCCCCTCACCCGGGCTGTCGGGTGCTTTCTCCCCTTTCCCCACCCAGCAGCCAATCCCTAGGCATCGCTTGCTCCATGGTGAGCTGCTGAGTTATCAGGTGACCTGTGCTGAGGGCACCGAGGCCTCCTTGTGGTTCTCTGATGACTGCCAGCCATTCAGTTCCAGTGTGAGAACAGCGATACTTTACTGGGCACAGGGAGCCACTGGAAGAAACATGGTCCTTAAGTACAAATAATACTCTTTCTTCATTAACACCCAACTGTTACACATCCATCCATGAGCTCCGTGTTTTACCAGCACCATACCCCTGATGTCTCATTCTCCTGGTCTTTAATAAAATGCTTCACCTTTTAGAGTTTCCACCGGAGTTCCCACCAAACAGCTCCTTTTTCACCTAGATGGTAACGATTTTGCCATCTGAGATAGAAAGTTTGTTACAAAATAGTTCCCTACTGCACAGGATTTCACCTAAACCTTTAGAGGAAGAGCCGGGGCTCCTAATGTGCCATCTGATAAGCAACAATTCCTAAAGTATGATTTCGTGTGTATATGTATTTTCTCCAGGTCATTTCTAATCCCCCTTGATGGAAGCATTTACTCTGTCCCCTTCTATTTCCAGGGCCTGGGTTAGTTCAGGACACAGGCAGGGCTCTGACTGCAACACACACGATGCTGGTGCCACCAGGACACACAGATCAAAAAAAACCTCATTGTTTTTCAAGTGCCTGCCCCACTGGAAGGGTCGTAGGGTACCAGCTCATGTCTAATAGAACCTTGTGTCCTAGATGGTAAAAGGTCTCCTTTTTAATCTCTCTTGGATGTTTAACATTTTGAACAGGATTACATGCAGAATGTTCACGGTAAAGAGATTGATCTTCTGCGAACCACTGTGAAAGTCCCAGGGAAGAGGCCACCCCGAGCCACGTCGGCCTGCGCACCCATCTCCAGCCCTAAAACCAATGGCCTCTCCAAGGACATGAGCAGTTTACACATCTCGCCAAATTCAGGTAAGCTTATAGCAAATGCGCAGGAACGAGGACGGATGGCGCTGGCTGAGGAGCATTGTCGAGCTTTTTAGGTTTAGTGTAGACAGTCACCATCACATTGTAAACCAAGGCCTGGCAACCACCTCTCTCCTGTGCATGAGAGTTGCCTCCACACCCATGGGTTCTGTGGCTGCCAGTATGCAGATGGTGGCCCAAACCAAACCCCTAGGTTTGCCCAGAGCTAGGTAGTTGACAGTAGGGTTTTACACATGATCAAAGATTTAAGGCTGAACGTAAGGACATGTTGAACAACATGAATTCATTGTTAAAGCATTAAGGATTCATATTAAGTCGTAGTGACCAAGCGTATAGAAGTGGAAACCCCATTCGGAGCAAGATTTAAAGGAAACCCCTGGACTTACGTAAAATGTAAATTCTCTCTGTTTTATATTGTAACTATTATGTCATTCTTTAACACAACTTTAGTCATCTTTTTGAAAGAAGAATTTGCTTTTTAATTCAGGATCAGAGAACGCTAATGTTGTCTCAGGTAGATGTGTGTAGAATTCCTGGCCTTTGAGTGCAGTTTGCAGGACATTCAAAATGTCATGGTTCATTGTTGCCTGGGAGCCTTTGCGGATGATCACACTCTGGCTTTAACCTTCCCATGGTTGCTTATCAGAGAAAAGGCTTTAAGAACTGCTTGAATCCTACTAACGCAAGCAAACTCCTCAGTACAGGGGATGCCTTCAGTTGTCTTCTCCAGCAAAGTGTCCCTTCCTTCTTTCTGACCTATTTACAGTCTGCAAAATAAAATTCTGTTCTGCAGTCGTTTCTAGCATATAATCTCTGCTTCTTAAAGATGCTGCATTTTCCCCTTTCTGAAATGTTAAGTGCTTTTAAAGAGGGAAGGTGCCCACCCCTCAGTTCTGTGGCATAAGTGACACTGGTTTTATCACAGAGTGATAAAAAGAAGCCAGAATTTGGGCTCCTGGGTTCTTCTGCACGATGCCAAGTGGTATCGGGCAGGGAACTCAACTGTGCTTTTTCCACCACATTAGGCTGAGCTTTTCTGGCCTGCGCATGTCACCAAGGTGTGGTGGCAGGTGAGACAAAATCTAACAACGTGCTGGGAAACTCATAAAGAATAATACAAGTATCAGCTGTTACACTGATCAGAAGGAAACCAGGCTTTCTGCTAACAGAGACAATTCACTTCAGAAAAGTGACAAGGTCTCTTGTGACCTGCTGACCTTCCTTCCAAGACATACATGAAATTCGCTTTTCAGGATGGTGTGCTAATTCTAGGGGATAGGAAGAGAGAAAAGAAGTGACAAAGGAAAAGAAAATTTCTATAATAAATGAAAAGCTCATGTCTTTATTACTTTGTGTTTATGCACTTATTTTTAAAAATATTTATTTGACACTTTTTCTGTGCCAAGAATTGTGTGTGCTGTGGCTATGGAGTCCCTGACCTCCAGAGCTTTTATACAAGGCAGTCGTCTTGGCACCAGCTCATTTCCTGGTTCCTGTTCTAGGCCATCACGTCACTTCTGTCCGTTTGTTTATTCAAGGCAGCAGACTGATGGAATTTCTAATGTGTACCAGGCATGGTCCTGGGCCCTGGGGATACGGAAGATCAGGACATAATCCCCACCCTCAGGAATCTCACCCTCTGGTAGACCAGGAGATGCAGCGCAGTAGAGCTGGCCGGTGCAGGGGTGCGTCAGGGGGCGTGAAGGCCCAGCGGTCATGCAATCAGTTTCTTCCCAGGAGATGGGCCGTATGCCAGGGCTTGGGACAGGCCTGTGTGGGGTGTGAAGAAAGGATGGGAATTTGCCAGGCACATAGAATGAGGGAGCAGCCCTGATGATTCGGACAGGTGTTGGATACGTAAGGCTTGGAGGTTTAATTTCTTGATCTTGAGACTTGTTTTCCTTGGAGCTCAACCACCACTTGTTATCCCAAAGAAAATGCAATGTTGGATAAATAGAAAATACAAAATGACAGTAAACCCTGTCACATCCTACGGAGCAGGTTATGTCTTGGGCCTCAGCGAAGGGAATGAGTGTTTAATGCCCAGTGTCTTTCTCTCTCAGACCCTTGCTGTTGGCCCACTAGGAGGATTTGGGGCACAACTGAAATCCCTTTTCCATGGTCACCCCCTCAGGTGATAACAGCACATCCTTTCAACCCTGTGCCGTGTTGATCCCCCTTGAAGGGAGCCGTGTCAGTTTTCCCTCTTCTTTGGATCGCAAGTAGGGATGTGTAAGTGGGGCTGTGATATCTGCAGGAGCACAGGGCCACTTTTAGGGAAGGAAGTGCCTCATGGTCACAGCAGCACTCAGGGGCGTGGCAGCCTCGTCCAAGCGTGCAGGTGCTGTCATCGGCTGGTGTCTGGGAAGAGTGACCCTCTAGTCTGTTGGCCATGGAGTGCTCGCTCACGTGAAGCATTCCAGCACAGCGGATTTCATGTGCAGTAAAGCCAGTGATGGACTTGTAAAATCAGTATTATTTTAGAGCTCTTCACCAAAGAAGTTAATGTGCCATTAACCTTTCTCTTCATTCTTGACTTATTTGAACTCTGCTCAAAATTTTGTTTTGGAGCTCTGGATAAACTAGAAATGTTTGTTTCTTTTTATTCCTTTTCTTTTTTATTCCTTTTCTTATCTCAATTTATTGAAGTAGGTAAGGTTTTGTGCCTTCCTTTCTGGTAACTTTGCCATTTATATAGACCTGATACATGCATGTACCTAAATCTTTGTGCGTAACACTTACTATTGTCTGAGAGTAAGTGTCCATAAGTGAAGTGACTCAGTCAGTGGATGTAAACATATGTAAGATTCTTGATACATATTTCTAAGGTAATTTCTAGAAAGGTTTTATATAAAATACTCCTCCTTCAATGAAGTGAGTGGATTTCAACCCCATACGCTTGCTAGCACTGCTATAATCATTTTTAGAATCTATGCTAATCTGATAAGCAATAACAATATTTCATGCTTTATTTATTTGGATTTCTTTAATTAGTAATTAGGTTGAGCCTCTCATATTTATTGGTCATACCTATTTCTTGTTGTAATTGTTTAGATGTATCCTTTGCCCATTTTTACACTGGGTGCTTGATTTTTTCTTATTGATAGGTAAGAACTCTTTGTATATTAAGGATATTAACACTTTATAATGTATTTTGCATATGTTACCCCAGTTAATTACTTTTTAAATTTTATGGTCTTATTTACATATAGAGGTTTCCCCTTTTATAACATATAATCAAGTCCTAAGTCTTCATCTCTGCAATTTCTACTTTAGATATTTAGAAAGCCTTTAATAATCCTGAATCAGACCACAATTCATATATATATATATGTGTGTGTGTGTATGTGTCTCTCTGAGTTTTGCAGTTTTATTGTTCTTTTTCCCTTTTTTTTATACTTAATGTCTAATCTATCTTTAATTTGTTTGGGTCTCTTATGTGCAAAAGGTGTCTAATTAAACTTTTTACTCAAATAGACAATTGTCCTTTCTCTCTTTGTTGGACTGTTTCCTTTCCCTGTTTATTCTATTTGTTGTACAATTAACTCATTTAGTCACATTAGCTATGTTTCTGGACTCATGAATCTGTTGTATTGACCTGTCTCCATCACATTGTCTTACCTTATGTGGATTTACCACATTGTCTTAGATTTATGATACAGTTTATATCTGGAAGTATAACACAGTTTAATAGTTATATTTTATTTTATAGTTTTTCTTGGCTAGTACTACCCATTTATTTTTTTTCAATAAACTTCAGAATAACTTGAAACCTTCCCCTTCCCCTTAAAAATAATCCCACTGTGAGTCTAATTGGCATTGCTTTTAACCTGTCAATTAATTGTGGAGGAACTGACATCTCTACTATATTGAGTTTCTCATCATGGTAAATAATTCTTTCCCTATTTATTCAAACTTAATATGTATCTTTCCATAAACACTTTCCTTCATTAAATCCTGAATGTGTCTTTTTAATCCATTCTGTTTGTTTATATGGGGGGAGGGTGGTGTATCTATTACATCATCTAATTGGTAAGAAATAAGAGAGCTCCTAATTTTCATATTTTCCATATCTATCATCTTATTGAACTCTTGGTAGTTGGAATAACTGGATATTTTTTCTTGATTTTTCTAGTATATAGGCATAATGCATTGCATATTTCAAATTTTAAAATGCCTCACTGTATGTCACGTTGGCATTTAGTTTCTACCAACTGGTTTAATGACTTGGATGCCTTATTGCTTTGCTTCCTGTTCTGTTCACTTACCATCACTGTTGGGTCTGCTGCGTGCCCAGCTCTGGAGATTTGGGGAGACGGTGCAAGACCCTCCTTCCATGGGGTGGAGGAGGCAGAGGATTAAGCAAACACACAAACAAGACCACTGGAGCTGGTATTCAATGCTAATGGAACAAAAGCAGCAATTGGATAGAAAATTACTGGTGGTGGGGTGGAGTCTTAAGTTATTCCTAGTAATGGGGAGCAGTTTGCCAGCCCTGGAATGTTGGTTACATTTCACACATAAAATGCTGGAAATGTGATGGTCTTAATGTCCAGTTTTGCCATGGACTTGCAGAAAAGGAGGAAGGACACATTGCCAAAGTAGCTATCTTGTGTACTGATAAATGACCTGGTCTCATTTGGGGGCTTGCAAATTAACCAGATCAGAAGAGCTGCAGTGACAGTGGGTGGCTCTGTGCTCCATTGGGCAGCTGTGGTGTGTAGGCAGAGGGGGCTGAAGGACACATTCAAGAAGAGCTGGCCAGTGGTATCCTTGCTACCAACACCACCCAGAGAGAAACAGCTGCAGAAGGCACAGCTCCTGATGTAGATGCTGATGCTTGAACGAAAAGGAAGCTCAGATTGGGATGCTCAGATTCTGCACAGTCACAGGGAAGCATAAATAAATGGCAAGGAAAGGCAGCTCTGCCCATGAGGGACATATCTAAAGTATGCCAGCCTGCTCAGCAGGTGCCACACACCTGC